CGTGGCCCGGGTTCGATTCCCGGTGTGGGAATGTATCTATTTTCTTTTTCGCCTCATAAAATTTTTTTGACCATTGTTTATTCTTCCAAAATCTTTTCTTTTAATAATTTTTTTAATTTTTTGTTTGCACTACTTCGTCTGTAACCTCGTCGAAAGCGTTTTTTTCTAGAAACACTTCTCGCGTGTATATTTTTAGATTCTTGCTGCCCGCCAATTTCAGCATTTTTTTCAACTTCACGAGTGCATTAGATTTCTGTTTATAGAGTGATGTATACGTGAGCCTCCCATAAAATTTTAACGCGAAGAAATGATCTGGTTAATTCCGTTGGATAGCTGGTTCAGTCAACATACGTGGGTGCGCCTATCGCGCGCGATAACCGCGACTTTCGAGTTTCAAAAATATTTCAAACAAACTTGCTCATTTTTTGAATGTTGATTACAGCAAAGTTCTCGGCAAACGTCTAAGGCAATCGAGTTAAAGATTAAGTGGCTTGGAGTTCTAAAGTTCATGCGATTAGGAGAAGGAAGGTCTGGAAGTTGGAAACCTTTTCCCTCCTGAAATAGACCTTCTTCTTTCAAAAGCTTTGATGGGGTATTGCCTCTCTAAGAGTGGACTAAGAAAAAAAATGCGGCCATTTCTGGTCTCATCAAATTACCTTGGAGACAGAGGGAGAGAAAGTGAAAACAGGGCTCGGACAACAAAACAATAAACTTGGTAATTCACCTGAAATTATCTAAAATTTAATACAATCGACTTCCGGTGAATATTCCCCAACTTTAAGCCAAGGTAAAGGACATTCAGAAGTTCCTAGCAAGATATTGTTTCCATAGAAACATTCAAACTACATAACAAACTGAAACTAACGCATTCAAACCCGCCAAGATTAAAGGACTCGTTGATCGCACGACTGACTTACCATTCTTAGTGTGGGAGAAGGTCAAAGTTTGAATCATTGCTCTCGAAACTCTCACGCCCAAAGATGACGTCAGCTGGCATTAAGCGAATATGACTTGGATAAATACTTGAAATGATTTATGCTGTTTGAAATAGGGTATCATGTGCATGTGTACTCCACAAGGAGTTTTATCCATGGATGGGCCTAGTAGAAAGAGAGTTATACAGAGAAATAAATTCTTGTATGAGAGATCAGGAAAGGCATATTGGAAGAGTACTTTATTTAAACTTCTTGTAAAGGGTTAAAGAAAAAAATCCTGCTAAAGAAAATTGCATTTAATATATCTCTGTAATATACCTTTTTCTCGAGGGCGTTAACAGCTTGCAAAACAACGTCGGTTAAGAATTCTATGTATCAACATGTCTGTGATATGGCGCGTATGATATACTGGCACAAGTAATCATTGCTGCTCTAGAATTTTGGGAAAAGGCATTTGTGCTTTGACCAACCCTTAAATTTATATAAATTAAGGCATACGTAATAGACGAGATATGTTTTACGACACTAAGGGTCATCTTTTAACGTCACTGATGACGTTTCTTCGAGCTTCACACATAGTAGGAGACATGCGTGGTGGGTTTTTGCTCCACCACCCCCTGCAACGTTACGGTTGGCAAGAACGCCATTGCAATCATGGCGGATCTCAACAGTAGCCTGACAGCCATGGACTGGCTACCAAAGCTTAGTGTTGGCACTGCTTTGAACACTGCCAACAAGATGTCGAACAACAATAACGATCCAAATCGGGACAAGAGTCCATTTCGCAAACCGCCGAGCTCACCGCTCGATCCGAACGCGACTTTAGACGACGAGGAGGCACAACAACACAAAACGCGCGAAAGCAAACCACCATATTCTTACGCAAACTTGATCACTTTTGCAATAAATAGCTCACCGAAGAAGAAGATGACGCTGAGTGAGATATATCAATGGATCTGCGATAAGTTCCCGTATTACAAAGAAGCTGGAAACGGATGGAAGGTATATGGTATTGTAAGACATTGTCGCCGAAAATTGGATAACCACTGAATATTAAACTTTCTAGGCGATTATTTCAGTCATTACCCGTTATTGAATTCGGTAGTAAATACAGATTGTTTTTATTACCTGCAGAATTCGATCCGACACAATCTGTCACTCAATAAGTGCTTTATGAAAGTGCCCAGAAGCAAAGACGACCCTGGCAAGGTACATCATATGCATGCGTATTGATTGTAGTCAGACCTCTGTTGTGAATTGATACTAGAGTTGATCGCAATATCTTTGTTAGTTTTACGTGTTAAAATAATTTTTTGCGATAATTTAGGGTTCATATTGGGCGATAGACCAGAATCCACAAGATGACAGTGCACATTCCCGGCAAAACAGGAAAAGACGGCCAAGCGATTCTAGGGTAAGATCACACCACTTCGCAATACGAAACATGGCGCTAACGTAGTTGCAAGCACAGATTTTGTAAACATAGTGTTTTTTTAAGCTTATGTAGGGGGGTTTGTAAAACATCGAATTTTTATAGTTTTTATGTTTTATGGCACGATCGAAACGCTGGTTTCATTTTCATGCATGTTTACGTTTACTCATGTCCCAATCGGTACATTTTTTCCTCTCATATTATTGTAAGCAGTTTGGAGCATGATATAACGTGATTCACGGAAAGTCTCAAAACATCCTGTCGATAACTTCCTTGCCTGTAATGTTAAACCGGTGACTTATTTCAACGCCTTGACAAGTGTAATGGACGAATGTAATCTTTACAGCTCGATTTATCATCGACGATCGAATTTTCACGTTGTTGATTTCATTTGTCCCAAGAACATGTGTGATAGAGACCGAGTAGATGATAAGGTCACGAATTCTTTTACGTTAAAAATAGATCAATAAAGCATCTGAAGTAAAATCATGCCTTGATCTTAAGGAAAGAAAAATCTTTACTAGGACAAGCGCCCGGAGAAAATTCGGGTTTTCATTTGTATTTTATTTGCAATCTTATGATAATCCCTTGAGTAATTTGCATTATCCTACTGACTCCTTTTAGAGTCAAAATGTGAAGGGGTCGAATCGATTGCGTGCGTCGAAACAATTCCGTTTAAAGCAAAGAGGTTAACTCACACATGACTCCGCCTTCTTTGTCTTTTATTTCCTAGGCTAAAAGGTTAACTTTTCATTGTTTTCATCGAAGCAATAGATGAGGCTTTCGAACTAGTTAGGTGATCATTGAAAAGTCTTATCATTAGTAATTTATGAAGCTATTTTCATGCAGAAAAAATCGATTTGGAAGATGATGCAAATGTTCTGATATTGTCACAAATTGAGTTGATTTCATTGATGGTATTTGGAGTTGTTCCTTATAATTTCTTCTGCCTCTGTGTAATACACATGAATTAATATTCATGTGAGGTTTTGCCAGCTAAGTGAATTTGAGGTTTATGAGATTATTTGTGTTGCTAATTACAAATTGCTGCCACGTGTAAGACATTTTCTAGAAAGGAAACTAATATTGCATCTGTGGTTCTCAAATCTGATTGTCAATGCCAGTTGTTTGTTAGGTTTTTATATTTTTAAATTTTATCTTGCAAATTAATTTAATAACTTGTGCTTCAAAATAGAAAATTTGCTTGTTTATCCTTTCCTTCACAGAGACAGCACCCTAAAATAAGTAAATGAAAAGAAGGGCACCTTTGAAAATTTCTAAGAAATTTCTATAAAGCCTAAGCTATATTGAAAGGTTATAGACTAAAAGGAAAACAAAAAATTCAGGTTGGAATGTGTAAGAGTATTAAAAATGCCGGGGTTTTAATCATATAACATAAAGGGGGGCTAGTTTCAAAAGAAATTGTGGTGCTGCATTGATGGGGTATTACAAGATAATTTAATTATCAAATGAATTGACAACATAAGTTGGCTACCATAAAGAGTTTCTAAAGCTGACAAAATCAGTGTTAACCCTTTATTGAGGTGAAAGTGAAAAATTTGGATCATATAACAGGAAAAGTACTATACCTTCTCTTAGGCCACAATAGTTGACTCAAAATGTAAGATTGTTGAATTGACAGGGTGCTGGGAAAGTGAGATTCCAATAGTGTGCTCAATTGGTAATGAAGTGACAAACTTAACATACTGGTAGCTAAATATTTGAAATGAAGATGTAGGAAAAAATCAAAGCAGTATTTTCAAGGAAAGTAATAGTCACTAGAATGTGTAGGATCTTAATCCTTTCTACCCTTACATCAATATGCACATTCTTGATACTTAAAAAAGCTTTTGACACTGTTGATCAAAATGTTCTCTTCCAAAAGCTGGATAATTATGAATTCCATGGTGTAATAGATAGGTGGTTTTCCATCTTACTTGCAAGGCATAACCCAGAAAACTCAAATTGATTTGCCTATATCCACAAAAACCAACACTACATGTGGTGTACCACAAGGGTCAGTCCTTGACCCACTACTGTTTCTAATCTATTTCAATGATATATACAAATCCTCTGACGAACTTGATTTTTTTCTGTTTGCTAACAACACAAACATTATGCTGACAAAAACCTAAAATCATTAGAGGAAGTTGTGAGCCAGGAACTCTGCAAACTGTGTGATTGGTTGATGGCAAATAAGTTAACCTTAAATAAAGAGAAAACAAATTTCATCATATTTTGTCCTGCTTAAAGAAAACTTACTTACCATCCCAGAATAATGATATTTGATAATGAACTCAAGAAGAGGGTAGCTTTGGATTGCAAGGACTTTGAGAGATATCTAGGAACTCTAATTGACAATCATCTGTCTTGGAAACAACATATTAACCATGTAGCAATCAAAATTAGTCAAACTATTGGACTGATCTCTAAATTACAATCTTTTGTACCTAGACACACCCTTACTACACCATATCTAACTTAAAGCATGATAGCTTGAGGCCAAGCATGTAAATTGTACCTTGACAATCTTTGTAAGCTCCAAAAACATGCTCTATGTTTTCTTTTTCTTTCTGATGGTAACTACCATACAATTCCTCTATTTGCCAATGCCGCAATTTTACCATAACAATTCTCCTACTATGAATTTACAGCAAATTTGATGTTTAAAATCAGACATAAAAATGTACCTTACAGCATTCAAGAACTCTTCCAAGATATTTCTCAGATCCATTCTTTTAATACCCAATCTTCTGCTTCTAACAATTTTTGTAAACAAAGTTCTAGACTATCAAGTCAACAACATTCTTTTTCCAGAATTGGAACAAAAGTTTGAAATGAGATGCTTGTAAAATTAAGAAATCTTTCAAAAAATGAGTCCAGAAAGGCAATAAAAAGAAAACTCTTTGACATTCTATCTTTAGAAGACTATTGTACTGTCACTCAACAAATCATTCAAAGGTCAAGCTTTTCTGAAATGTTTTAACTAATTCTAGGGGTTTTTTAGCTGCTAACATCTTCTATCCTTTGTTAGTCCAATATGATATTTTAAATTCACTTATTCTGTCACAATAAATCTGTCCTATTAACAAAATTATTAGATTATAGGTAAATTGTTAATGCTTATGTTAACATGCTATATCCTTAGTTAGTCCTCTGTGATATTGTAAATTTACTTATTTTGTCACCATAAATTTGTTCTATTGACAAAATTATTCAGAGACCATAAATAATTTGTGAATGGGTATGTGATAGTTTTTACATCTAACATTTGACCCACCTAGAATAACACTCAAGCTAACTTTAGGCACATGAAAAATTGTAAATACAAATTCAAGTGATACAATTTATGTATGTATTATGTCAGAACTTTTCTGTACACATTTCCTAAGGTGCTGACAGAGAAAATTTGCTTACCAATAAAAAGCTTCCATAGTTGATGACAAATTCCCTTATTTGCATGAGCCTAATGTTTGATTCAGGGGTGATATTCCAAGGAGAAATTAGGGTTAAAGGGCACATGACTCCTTCCCTCCCTATTAAAATAACTTAGAGAGAAAGAGCAACCTGGCACCACCCCTGATCTTAGTAAGATGCTACTGACTAGAAAATCCAACTTTTTTTTTTTTTCATTTTAAGACATGTAAATGGAAAGATAACTCATTCAAAAGTTATTGAAAATGAGACAGTGTCTCAAAGCTTGCAACATCATATTTTTTGATATTATATTCATTGCTTTTATACCCATAGCTCTGTTAATTCTAGCATTAAGTAACTTGGCTTTTACTTTATTGAAAATTCTTTTTTTATTCCTTGTAGTTATCTCCATATGGGCCTGAAGATGGTCGTGTCTCACCAATTAGCCCTCAGTCCTCGCCATGTGGATCACCATCATCTCCAACATTAGCCTCACTGCATGCTAGTGCAGGATATTATGGTTCATCTCCTACTAACCAGGGTTTCCTGGGAATGTCAGCTGGGATATCCCCTGGGTCATCGCCTAACACTAATGTAGGTGGATTTGGCGCCTCACAGAGCTATGGAGAACCTCCAAGGAAGATTTTCCCAGAGGTTGCCTTCGAAGATCTCAGTGCATCATTTAAAAATCTTTACAAATCTGTTTTTGATGCATCACATGGAGGGGACAGTTATGGTGAGTAGTGAGTCATATGGTAATGAAGTGTGATGTGGAAATTAGTTCAAAATAAGGTATCCATCACATTCTTTTCAATCAAAATTTAAGCCAAATTTTTTAGAAAAAAAATACCAGTATTTCTTTTTACAGATTGTCATTTGTTGTTATGGATATTAACCCCTCAACTTCCAAGAGAGACCAAGACAAAATTTCTCCTTACAATATCAATGCAATATCAACAGACAAGTGACGAGAATAAAGAAAAATATCAGCTAGGTGTTATTGGTTGATCCAATACCAAATTCTCAGAACTAGCATCAGAAGGATTGTATAGCAGACTGCAAGGAGAATTACTTATGAGATCTTGAGGGTTAGATAACTACAGAGAAAAAATGGACCTGAGTGTCACAGTATAGAATTGACTGGGTGTTAATTTGCCATCAGAGGTTGAAGAATTTTCCACCTGCTACAAAAAAGTCTTGTTGTTAGCTTTCATTGGCCTAAGCTATAGTTTAGTCAGAAAAGGATAACATTCTCCTCTCACTTTTACATCAGTATGCAAGTTCTCTATACTCCTTCCTATACATTTCCTATGCTGTTTACTGAGAGAATTTCTGTGATGATCAAGAGCTTCTTGAGTTTGTGATCATTGTTTATTCTCTTGTTCTTAATGTTTGATTCAGGGGTGATTCTGTGTGGAGAAGTCAGATGCTTATCATGCTCATCACTCATGGGGGTTTAAGGGTTAACAATGTTTTCCTGTTACAATTTATATTACCGTATTTAAACCCTCACTGTCTTGATGATGTTGATAACTGTTAATTCTTTAAAATGAAGAGTTAGATAGATGAATGGTCAGATAAGTGAATGAACAATTTTCTTAATTTGTAGGTGGTGGAAGCATAGGTGCCAGTATCTTTGCAGGCAGCCAGAACCTAGCTGCGTCTGCACAAATGTCGCAGCAGCAACAACTTCAACAACAACAGCAGCGTCAACAACAACAACAACAACAACAGCAACAACACCACCAGCAGCAACAACAAAATAATCTACTTCAAAATATGGAACTACTCTTGGAAAGCCTTAACACTAGAAGTTTTCAAAACTTTGACCTTGGTACATGGCAAGTCTTGATGGAAAGTATGAAATCTGCTGATCTGCAAAATATGGGAGTGGATCAGAATCAGTGGCAGGATTTTGCCTTTTCATTTAGTCAATATCTTCACCAGCAAGGCTTTATCCCTGATTCTAACTCCATGAGGGGAATAAGCCCATCCTCGTCCAACAGTAGCAATATGATGGGCAGTCCACAAGGAATGCTTCAAGTAAGCAATCCCCAGTTTACATCTGGAGGCTCCCCTTTACAAGGTTCTCAGCATAGTTACAGCAGTTCGGCAAGTTTTAGTGGCAGTTCACAGCACTCCATCCCAGGCATCAAAGTGACGTCAATTAATAATCAACCCACAGTGGGTCAGACTGGTAATCAGCATACAATGATTGGGACAAGAGCACCAGCACTAATGGATGACGATGAGGATGAGGAATTTGACTGGGATTCATTGCTATGAGTCTGTATACAGGTAGCAGGGTAGCAACTGTGATATTTGTAATTATTATTGGGAGGGAAGGACAGAAGATGAAGCAAAGTTCAGGAATGGAAAGCATTCATTGACATAACATGTTTTTTAGAGTATGTACACTAGTAGTTTAAAGTAAAAATTATTTAAATATGAAAGGTGAAATGGCTTTTAAACATACCTTAGAGATGTAGGGGTGGGAGGGGGGGTAAACTTCACCATCTAG